GCACAGCTCCCTTTGTGCTCCTCCCCTGTGCCCGGAGCTCCTCCAGACCATCCCAGCATGGCTGTGAACCTCCTGATGAACCCCGCGATAAACCCTCCAAAAACCCCCTCATAAACCCAAATAAACCCCTCTAATAAACCAAATAAACTCTCTAATAAATCTCCTAATAAATCCCCCCAAACCCCCCTAATAAACCCCTTAATAAACCTAATAAACCTCCCAATAAACCCTTTAATAAACCAAATAAACCCCCCAAAACCCCCTCATTAGCCCCTCTAATAAACCCCCTAATAAAGTCCCTCACATCACTCTGACTCTGGTGTCTCTCCCAGCACTGGGAATGGTTCCCTCTCACTCCCCAGCTGAGTCCTTACAGTGATTTTTAATTTTTTTATTTTTTTTTTGTAAAATCCATTCAAATTCCACCTAAAGCCTGCACTAAAGGAGACCTGCACGTTCAAACCACACCCAGGAATCCTGACCAAAATCCCAGTGGAGTTCCCAGAGATGGAGCCTGACCAGCAGGGACAGGACCAACCCCAGAGAGCCTCTGCCTTGGAGCCAAGCTACTGAGGAAAAGATATCGAGAAAAAGAATGGGATTTTCAAGTATTGCCTCAGAGCTGATTTATTCCTGACATAAAACTAAACTTCCCAATGATATGGACTTTTTCCATGCATTATTCTAGATGGCAGTGTAAATCAACTGAGAATGCAGTCAGTAAAGTTGTTATTGCCAGCTCTAAAACTCCCACACTATAGAAAAGATTCAAAGAATTATTAATATTTCCTCTATTCATGTGCTCTGTGCTTGAGCAGGCACTCACAGGGAGGTTTGGAAAGTCGAAATGGAGCCATTGTAGGGGCTGAAAGAGCCCCGAGCCGGGGGCATGGAGATGAACCCCGCTCGCTGATTGCTCTGCACGGCTTTGTGCTGTTTGCAGGCTCTGGATGAGGAGCATCCCCTGCCCAGGGCTGAGCTCCTGCTGGCACAGCCCATCCCAGAGCAGCCCCACAGAGCTGCCAGCACCTCACAGCCATCCCAAGGGGCGGCTTTCCAAGCCCCGAGCCCTCGGGGGTTCGTTCGAGGAAGGTAAATTCTCTTTGCATCCCTCCGGGGATGGGTCAGCAGCAGACGGAGCAGGGGCGAGGGGCGGCTGCTGCACGCCCAGCTCCATCCTGAGCCTGGGGCATCTGGGACTGCCAGCCCTGCTGCGTTATCCCCCTGCCCCTGCCGACTCCCTGGTTACCATCTCGGCTCCATCTCCTCCTCCTCCTCCTCCTCACCGAGCTCTAATCCCCGCAGACTCGGAGCTGAGCGCCGCCAGCCAACAGGAGTTGCTTTGTCTGTGCTGACTTGGGTAAGCAAAAATATTCTTTCCTTACGAGCCATTTGCTGTTCCTGCTCTTGCAGTGAAGCAGGTGGGAGCCCTGCTCACCTGCTCGGCGTTAAAATGGGTTTTATCTTGTGACAGGGAAATACCAGAGGACTTCTCCTCCGTAGTATCTTCCAGCACTCGTGTTGCATTCAGCAGTTTCATAGAAAGCTGCCTCTGATATTTTACAGCCAAAGTATTGTAGGGAATCTGGGATGTTTGTAATGAAAATGGAGATTTTGCAAGTGCTCCCCAAGTTGCCTTGGCATGGATGGTGTGGTGGGAGGGATACAGGAGCTTTGAGCTGGGTTTGTTTTTAATGGCGAGCTCGTGGTTTCAATTTCTTGTTCTTTTGTCCCTGACCACTGAGGCTGCCCTGGCACTTCATTCATTCATTCATTCACATGCAGATTTGCTTGCTTCGCTGTGGTTTTTTGGTTTTGTTTTTTTTTTTTAGATCAAAGCTCTTTGAATTTGCATTCTCTTTTTTTTCCCTATAAACTTTTAATTCCAAAGGCAAACCCCTGAAAGCTGCATGTCTGCTCCCCCTGCCCATGGAAGTTTGTCACGAGACCATTAATCATGACTTACAATCATTCTGCTAATGCAGAGCATCCATTCAGGAGCAGGGTCTGCCTGCTGATGGATTTGTTGCTGTGGGATGTGGAAGCAGAACAAATTTCCTCAGGAAAGATTTAAGCAAGGTCATAATAACATCCCCTGCACTCTGATCAGACAGAGCAGAGCAGTTTGTTGGCTCGGGCTGTGGGAGAGCCCAGAGGTCAGACATTGATATCAGACTTGTTTATTATCTCCTAGCTCTGATAGAAACTCAGCTGAAGCCCCCAGTGTTGCTGTGTTTGTTGTGGTGGGGAAAGGGGAAGCTCCACAGCTTAAAGCCGTGTTGTGCACTTCATCCTCGGCTCCAGAGCTTCTCACCTGCATTAATTAATGAGCTTTTCAATCTCATTACACAACCACAGCACAAGGTGTGCTTGCTCTGCCAAGAGGTGAACGGGCTAAAGGGCACCACAACCCCTTGTTGGGATCAGGGGCTAAAATAATGGGATTTCCCAGTGCCCATGGGTGCCCTGGTGTGCATCCCCCTGCTGGGCTGGGTGTGTCCCCAGGCACACCTGGATGGGGCCAGGGTGGAGCTGCCAGGACAAGGAGGGCAGGGTGAGATGGGCACAGGCAGGGCAGGAAAAGCTGCCAGCCCCAGCACCAGGTGTTTGCCCAGCCCTGCCGTGTTCTCTCTCCTGTGGGGCCTCTCCAGCTCAGGGAGCCCATCCAGAAAGCCAGGTTTGGGCACCAGCAGTGGGAAAGGTGAGGGCATGAAGGGCACAGGGTGCCCAGAGCAGCCCAGGATCCCTGGAGGTGCCCAAGGCCAGGCTGGAGCACCCTGGGACAGTGGGAGGTGTCCCTGCCCAGGACAGGGGTGGCACTGGGTGGATTTTGAGGTCCCTTCCCACCCAAACCATTCTGGGGTTTTGGGATTGTTGCACCAGAGCTTGAAGGAATAATAAAAGACAAACAACAAATACATCAAAGGCTGCATTGTGACCAACTGCTGTGAAGTGCAACAGGTGAGGTAAGCAGAGTGAGAGACAACGATGAGCTCCCAGAGACCCCGGGAATTCACGTTCTCCTGATCCCACAATCGTGGCTGGACCCAGAGGCTGTCGTGCCCTGCACCAGCCCCTGGGCAAACTCTTCCCCAAAAGAGACAAAAGCACGGCAAGGAAGTGATCCAGGAGGAGCAAAGTGGGGCAGGTCCATCACCTGAGCACACACAGAGTCACAGCACTGGGGTTGGAAGGGACCTTAGAGATCATTCCACCCCCCTGCCATATGCAGCTTCACATCTCAGGAGCTCAAACATTGCATTGTTTTGCTCTCAGAATAGCAGCATTGACTCCCCTTCCTCGCAGAGAGGCGAGGGCAGGCAGGAAATGACTTGCTGATGATGGCACAGAAGAACTGAGAAAGCAGGAAATCAAATCCACGTGTAGGGAGGGAGGGCTGCTCACACAGCCTGTCCCCAGCACAAACTGCCACACAGAGTGACAGCAGGAGCAGCTCTGAGAGGGGCAGATGATTCACAGAACGAGGAAAACATGATACTACCTTCCCTTGGGAGCAAAACCCGCTTCAAAATAAGGAACTTGTTGAATTCACAAGAAGTTAAACATCAAAATTCTCTGGGAATGGAGCTGAAATGAGCCAGGACTGGGAAAATTTAACCCTTGGGTTGAATGGGCCAAGTTCTCAGAACTGAGTGTCCATCACCCAGTGTCCCCAGGGGTGGGGACAGCCAGTGCAGGAGGGTCTCTGTGCCCTGTTCCCTCTGTCCCACAGAGCTGGTCCCAACCAGGACGTGCTCCAGCACAGGAGCCCAAAATGCCACTTGTCCCCAGGGCCAGGCTGACCTACTTGAGTTTTTTTTCCTCTTTTTTTCATCTCATATTCTCTGGTTGACAGCAGCCTGGGAGGGGAATGGAGAGTTCCTCTCAATTTTCCTGTCACTCAGCACCAGCCCGCTGATCTTTATTTGGAGTGGATAAAACTCACCTGCCATCCCCAGCTGAATGTCTCTGCCAGTAAATTCCCTTTCTGTGATATTCCAGATCTGTAGATTTGGGATGGGCAGGTGACTGCAAAGAAAACATTGTTTAGGGATTTAAAATAATTGGCAGAAAGGTTTCTGCTGATTGATCAGCATTTTTGTGAAGGACTTTTCACCTTCCCTGCTTTCAAACAGCAGGATAAAGCTGGGCTCTAGAAGGAATTTCTGTATTTCTGTGAATTACACAGGCATCAGAAACCAGGAGGCAAATAAAGGTCAAGTTCAGGAGGCCTTTGGTGATTTTATGGACTGAAGCCTTTAACTGTTTACAATCGAGTCGATTTTGGTTTCAATAATGTTAAATTAACCTTTAAAAATTGTGTCAAGGAGCTGAAAACCCTGCAAACGTGCTAATTAAGGAGATAAAGTAGGTTCAGGAGGAATCCAATATCTAAGCTGTCTCTCATGAAAAAAGACCTTTCAGCTTTTTCTCTGCTTTAATACTTCTGCCTTTTCCAGAGGGATAAAAAAACATCCACGAAAGCTTTTGCATTGTCTTCTGAAGGCTCAGCTGTGTCCCACAGCCTTGGGCTCCCTTCCTGCTCTGGGAAGGGGATGTTCCCCATGTCCAGGGATGTTCCCCAGTCCCAGGGATGTTCCCCATGTCCAGGGATGTTCCCCAGTCCCAGGGATGTTCCCCAGTCCCAGGGATGTTCCCCATATCCAGGGATGATCCCCATGTCCAGGGATGATCCCCATGTCCAGGGATGTTCCCCAGTCCCAGGGATGCTCCCCGTGCCCCTGCTGCCCAGGGTCACTTTTAGATCTCCTTTTCCCTCATCTCCAGGTTCCTCTCTCACCTTCCAGTGCCCCTCCAGCCCTTAGAGCTGATCTCCTTACGGGTGCTAAGAGGTTTGTGGATCATTTTCCACCTCCCAGACCTTGGGCAGCTCTAATTCTGATGGAACCGGGGAGTCCTGGGCTTCCTGCAGGCACACAGCCCGTCAGTGACCTCTCCCCCTGCTCCTCACAGCGTCCCCTGGTTCCACTCTGGAGGAGATGGGGCGCAAGGAGGAGGATGGCAGCGGCTCCTGGAAGAAGCAGACCAGCAACATCCGCAAAACCTTCATCTTCATGGAGGCCCTGGGATCGTGAGTACCATCCCCAGAGCGCTGGCCCTGGGCAGCAGCAGCCCCAGTCCCGGCTCCCCAGACCCTCCTGGCCCTGGCCAATGTCCCAGGGACCCCCTGCCCTCCCCTGGGGCAGACAGGAACGGGTGAGGGGGTGCCCAGGATGGTCCTGCTGCCATTCCTGGCACGATTCACCCTCCCCAAAGACCCCCAGATCCCCCTGCCCTCCCCTCCAGCCCCTCTGACCCCGAGGGATCCTTGCACCAGGAGGTTTTTGCCCCTCTCCTGCCTGTCCCTGCTGCTGCAAGGTCAGAGGAATTGCAATAACAAGTCGTATATTTAGCTCAGGAGCCCTGACTCAGTTGGGGAATGAAACAAAAACAAGGATGTTGGAGTTGTACAATCCTTCCCTGTGCGTTAACAGCTTAATTTGCCTATTCATGGGGATGAGACAACAAAACATTTCCAAGGTGCTGGGGGAGGAATTGAATTACCTCCACCAGCAAGTTCTGTCATGGACAAATTTTCTGTGACTTCCGAGCCCATGACAAAGCTCCCAAAGAAGCAGCTACTCCCAATTCTGTGCCTTGTCAGCCTCAGAGATTAATTGAATTATCCAGCAGCTTTCACTAAAGGAATGAGGTTAGAAAAAGCTTTATTCTCTCCTAGCTCACTTGTTGATTCATCATTTTTAATAAGGGGCATAATTATTATAAACTGTTTGGGACAGAGATGTTGAACAGATGCCCCAGCAGCTGATTTGTAGGTTGTTCATTTCCTACTATTGCTTTAATAGGAAAATTTACCATTAGAAATTGGGATTTATTTTTTTTTCCCCCACATGCATCGCTTCATCTCTCTGAAGAATTGAAATGAAGATTTGGGACTTTAAACCACCTCAAAGTTGTGATCACCTTCCCCCAGGGTCCCCAGCCCTGCCCTGCCCTCTGCTCCCTGCAGGCTTTGCAGGCTCAGAGCCAACCCCGATTCATGACCCCAATTAAGGAGCTGCTGGATTGATGAGGATTAGTGAGGACTGGCCTGGCCCAGTGTCACTGTCACTGCCCCAGCCTCATGGCCAGCTCCCCGGGACAGAGCTGTAACAGGATTGGGGTTTTAGGCAGGTTATAAATACCTGCTCCTGCTCTCAGGGCTCACTGTCACTTTGTCACCGAGGGGAGCAGCAGCCTCTGCTGACAGGAGAACAACCAGAGGCTGAACTGAAAGATTAACTGAGGTTCTGCTGCTGTTTTGCATTTTAGACCTGCAGAATGTTGGGTGACACCAAACCCAAACTGCAGCTCCCTGGTGGACTGTGCAGGATTAACATTTTCTCTACAGAAAACAAAAAGTGGGGTTTTATTTACATTGCATAACCTTGCCCTGAACATCCTAATTTTGGGGCTGCTCCAGTACAGTTCCAGCTTTAGAATCAGCATCCACCTGAAGTCCCCACCACAGAGTTTCCCTGTGCTATTTCCCCTCTCTGTCAGTGCCTCCCCATCCCCAAAGCAGCACCCTCTGAAATGCAGCTTCCCCCCCTCTCTGCAGAGGAGCCTTCTCAGAAGTTTTCCTGGTGAAGCAGAAAAGCACTGGCAAGCTCTTTGCTCTGAAATGCATCAAGAAGTCTCCTCTCAACAGAGACAGCAGCTTGGAGAATGAGATAGCAGTGCTGAAAAAGTGAGTGTGAGAGTCCAAGGAACATTCCTGATGTGCTGGGTACTTTAAATAAAGGCTTTGGTCCCCCACTGGTGGTGCCTGGTGCTCCAAAGCGAACTGGATGGGCATCAGTGATCCTCTGCAGGCAGGGGTGGAGCAGAGAGCACCCCAGTGAACTTTCCCTGCAGATTAAAGCAGGATCACTGCTGAGTTTTCCACCCCAGAAGCCCCTTCTGTCCTTGCCAGGATTTGTTTCTGACCCACATTTCCCTTTGCAGAATAAAGCACGAAAACATCGTGACTTTAGAGGATATTTATGAGAGCACAACCCACTTCTACCTGGTGATGCAGCTGTGAGTACCAGCAGAGCCATCTCGGGGCCACACAGAAGGACAGGGCAGGAGCAGGGGGATGTGTGGGATCCCAGCAGAGCCCAGAGCCCCTCCAGGGTCCCTTCACACACCCTCAGTGCCGAGGCTGGAACCAGCCCTGTCATTCCCGGGGGCTCCTGGGCCCATCCCGGGCTAACAGAGACTTTCTGAACCATGGTTGGGATCGATTTATGCAAATTAACTGCTCACAGTTTAGCGGGGCAGAGACAGAAGTATTTCTAATTAAAGCTGTGCCATGCAGGGTTTCTAGAAATGGAATGGGCACCGTGTCAGCAGCAGGGGAAGAGCTCTGAGCACCCGGCTGCTGCTTGACTGCAAATTCAGGAGAGAACAAAACCCTTGTAAGGAACAAAACTACCTGTGGGGTGGAGCCTGAGGCAGGGCTGGGTACCTGCAGCTGAGCCCTCCCAGGATTTGCCTCAGAACCTCTCCCAAATCAGCCAGGTTTACCAGCAATCCTCACCGGGATCGCACCCGGGAGCACCCACCAGCCTCAGCCTCCCAAAAACTGCTGTGAAAGGAGCAGAACGCAGCTGACCTAAACGAAAAAAAAAAAACAACAAAAAAAAAGAGCATTGTTCACGTTTTTCCCAGTCCTGTTCTTTCTGAGCTGCCCTCTCCACAGGGTGTCTGGGGGAGAGCTGTTTGACAGGATCCTGGAGCGGGGCGTTTACACCGAGAAGGACGCGAGCCTGGTGATCCACCAGGTGCTGACAGCCGTGAAATACCTGCACGAGAACGGGATCGTGCACCGGGACCTGAAGGTGAGCCTTGCCCTGGCCCCACCACCTCCTGCTCCTCTTTGCCATTTCCTACCCCAAATTTCACCCTCTGAGCACCCCCCTCCTTGTGTTGCCAGCCCGAGAACCTCCTGTACCTCACCCCCGAGGAGAACTCCAAAATCATGATCACGGATTTCGGCTTGTCGAAAATGGAGCAGAACGGGATCATGTCAACAGCCTGTGGGACTCCAGGATATGTGGGTGAGCCAAGGGGCAGCAGTGGGCTTGGCTGGTGCATTTCCTGGAAAAAAAGGTTGTGCACATGCAGGGCATTGCCTGGGAGAAGGGAAAGAAATACATCAATATGTTGATAACAACGTCAGACTCACAGATGCACTGCACAGACCCTATAAACGAGTGTAGGGACTGAAAAATTTCAGTATTTTTAAAATGCAAAGAAAAGGGTAATTTTGAAGGCAATATATTTACTGAAAAAATATTAAAATTGTTTTAATGCAGTGGGATTTTGTTTCATTCCCACCAGACTGCATTGGCTGGATGCAGCTCCGTGGTTAAACCTCAGCACGCAGGCAGAGATTGTCTGTGGTTCTTTCTATACAGTGGCATAAAAAAGACACAAAAACCGCAGAGCAATTCAGCTGGGAGACGGGGCTGCTCCTGGCTGAAACTCCTGCTTTTCCCCGTGCTGGATAACTCATAATTGCTCAGAATTCCCCTTTGGTTTCGGTGTCCTGCAGCCCCCGAAGTGCTGGCCCAGAAGCCCTACAGCAAAGCCGTGGACTGCTGGTCCATCGGGGTCATCACCTACATCCTGTGAGTACGGGCAGCAGCAAATCCCTCCATTCTCCCCGAACTCCCCACGTCCCCCGGGCTCTGCGGCGCGGGGGCGATGCCAGACCTCCCCTTTTCCTGCAGAGCACTGAATTCCTCCCAAACACAGCAATTAAAGGGATGTGGGAATGCAGTGCAGGAGCGGGGATGAGAGGAATCGCATTTGCTCTGTTCCGTGCCTCATCCTTTGCTTTGTTTTTTACCAGCTCCCTACAAATACCATCCCATCTTCCCGGGTACTTTTTGTTTCGTTTCCTCCCACACTGCTCAGCTCGGTACCAGCTGTGGCTTTGTCCTCTCGCTGCTGCAGTGAAGTTTTTAACTCTTTGGAGGGACAGCAGGGTGGGCAGAGCAGCTCCTCGGTCACTGCTGTCACTCCGCACTCGTGTGCCCTCCGTGGGCTGCAGAGGAGCCTGTGCCACTTCGTGGTGGCACTGAAGGGCCCCTGGCTCTCTGCTCTGCTCCAGGCTCTGTGGGTACCCCCCCTTCTATGAAGAGACTGAATCCAAACTCTTTGAAAAGATTAAGGAAGGCTACTACGAGTTCGAGTCTCCGTTCTGGGATGATATCTCCGAGTCAGGTAAAGCTCCGGGGCTGGGGAGCTCCACATCCCCTCCCACAGGCTCTGATCCCAAATCCCCAAACCAGCAGAGCCCCTGAACACCCTGTGCTGATCCCAAATCCCCAAACCAGCAGAGCCCCTGGAACCGTCTGTGCTGATCCCAAATCCCCAAACCAGCAGAGCCCCTGGAACCGTCTGTGCTGATCCCAAATCCCCAAACCCCTGAACTCTCTGTGCCAATCCCAAATCCCCAAAGCAGCCAAACCCCTGTGCTGCCCCAGCAGGGACGGGGAGGGCTGGAGCTCTGACCTGAGTCACTCTCTCACACCCTGAGAACGGTGGGGATGATCAGGGGCTCCATCTCCTCAGTGCTGGGGGATGATGCCAAAGCAGAGCTGCCCTGGCAGGGAGGGGCTGCTTGGAGCCCAGCTGAGCAGCATCCTCAGCTGAGGCCGTGGTTAATGTAATCTTGATTTTCACAAATGATCACTGAGCTCTGAGTGGGCTCAGATTTCCCTTGGAAGTGTCCAAGGCCAGGCTGGACAGGGCTTGGGGCCACCTGGGACAGTGGGAGGTGTCCCTGCCATGCCAGGGATGGCCCTGGATCAGCTTTAAGGCTCCTTCCAACCCAAACCACTCTGTGAATCTGTAAAAAGGGAAACTCTGGGGTTTTCTCCCCATTTTTTCCCTCTGTCCTTCACCAGCCCAAGCTGCTGGTGGAGCTCCCTGTGCACAGCTCACTGCAGGCAGCATCCTCACGCTTATTTCAACATCAATCTTTTATACAAACAAACAGACCTAGCGGGGGGTGTGCTGGGGTTTAATAACAAACATCACGATCCTTCCTGCAAGAAAAACAAGGGGAAAAAAGGGGAGAGATGTAAGAGCTCTTCAGGGCAACTTCTAAATATGATCAGTTTGCACTTCATGGTTTTTAGGTGAATAATTCAACTCCAATTCACACAGGCTAAGAGTGAAGTTTGCTACATCCAGAGTTGATATTTTTCCACCTGGAGCCTGTCACGATGAGAGTTTTCCTTTACTGAAGTAATCACAGAATTACTGAGGTTGGAAAAGATCTCCAAGATCAAGTCCAGCCTTTGACTGAATCCCACCAAACCTCATCACCAAATACCAAATACCATCCACTCATCTCTGAGCACTTCAGGGATGGGGACTCCAATTCCTGACCACTCTTTCAGTGAAGGAATTTCTGCCAATATCCAACCTGAACCTCCCCTGGTGCAGTGACACAAACCCCTCCTCCTCAGGGCTCACCTCTGTGTTCATCCGGCAGCATTTCCCCTGTTCTGTGAGGATCAGCTCTGGGAAGAAGGAGGAGCTAACCTTGTCTCTGCTTTTCCCCCTTTCCCAAACAGCCAAGGACTTCATCCGGCATTTACTGGAGAAGAACCCAAGCGCGAGGTTCACGTGTGAGGAGGCTCTGAGGCACCCGTGGTGAGGGTCGGGGTGGCCACGGGGATTCTGCAGCCCCAGATTCTGTTCTGTGTGCTCCTGGGAGCAGAGGACAGCAGTGTCCCAGGATCAGGATTGTCCCCAGGATCAGGAGTGTCCCCAAGATCAGGATTGTCCCGAGGAATAGGCGTGTCCCAGGATCAGGATTGTCCCGAGGATCAGGATTGTCCCCAGGATCAGGAATGTCCCCAGAACAGGACTGTCCCCAGGATCAGGAGTGTCCCCGGATCAGGATTGTCCCGAGGATCAGGATTGTCCCCAGGATCAGGAATGTCCCCAGAACAGGACTGTCCCCAGGATCAGGATTGTCCCGAGGATCAGGATTGTCCCGAGGATCAGGATTGTCCCCAGGATCAGGAGTGTCCCCAGAACAGAAGTGTCCCCCACCCCATCACTAACGTCACCGCCTCCCCCGCGCTCCAGGGCTGCCTCCTTCTTGTGTGCAAAGAAAGCAAACCATGAATAATTAAAGATGCAATTTGTGCATATTTGCCTCCACAAACAGAGGCAGAGGAGAAATCCCACCCTGAGCTTTCCCAGGCTTTGAAGTGTGTGTTTGTGTTACATTTTGTTGCTGTTTTTCCTTTGGGTTTAATTATTGCTGATTGAACGTACAAAGCAGTTCAGTGCTTCCAGAATGTGGAATGCCTTACAAATGCCATCTGCCTACGAGCCCATTTTCTTCTCTTCCATCTGCAGGATTAATGGAAATACAGCCCTTCACCGTGACATCTACCCATCTGTCAGTGCTCAGATCCAGAAAAACTTTGCAAAGAGCAAATGGAGGGTAAGTGGCTGCTGCCGGGAGCCCACAGCCATTTCACCAACAAATACCAGCTGGTGTCAGCCAGCACTGAGCAGGGCTTCAGCTGCTGGGGAAGCACCCAAAAACTGGGATGCTCCAAAGCTGGATCCTCCAAAGCTGGAATTGCCTGCAGTCGATGTTCAGGGGGTGTTTGGAGCGATATTCCTGCTGCAAAGTGCTGTTTCCAATGTGCCCATCCCAACCAGGCAGTGCTGGCAGAGCTGTGCTGGTGTCACCTGGGGGTGGGACAGGGGACAGTGTCCTGCCATCAGCACCTCACCAATGGCTTTGTCTCCTTCCCCAGCAAGCCTTCAACGCCGCGGCCGTCGTGCACCACATGAAGAAGCTGCACATGAGTGGCCATGGGGCAGCCCAGGGCTCTGTCCCTGTCCCCGAGAGCTCAGAGCCCCCCAGGGCCAGCAGCCCCACGGGGACCCCCCTGCCAGCAGCGCCAGGAGATGACAAGGACACGGCACAGGGGCACCCAAACCCACCCAGAGCCACTCGGGACATGGGAGCAGAGGAGGAAAAGCTGCCAAGCCCCTCGGAGGAGGGACCCCAGCCC